CAGTCGCTGGGATAGTGGGTATCCGATTATTGGAACGTTGGCATGTACCGGCGATTGCTAGTCACGCACGGCGGCGGCATCTTCTGTGCTGGCAGTCCATTCTGAAGGGGAGTTCGGTGCTGACGCGGTTCACCTACCTCAAGACTCGGGGGTGCAGTCGGAGCCTGAGCGCGACCCCAAGGAACCCGCGCGCATGGTGCTGGTGGGGCGGTTCGCCTTCGAGCCGGAGGAGTCGGAGAGGACGAGGAGCGCCAGGGCCTCGACGCTTCATGCTGACTTGGTCAAACTGCGTTGAGTCTGGCGGAGATAGTGGAGGGGGGCGTGGCCCAGAGGACGAATGCTCCGAAGTAGCAGTTGGTGGAGGTGGCGCAGAGTGAGGCTCCTTCCCTCGTTGGCCCGACGGACCCCTATTTTGGCGATTCCTGACTGAAGTGGCTCTTCCGCGTGCCCCCGGTTATCTTCGACGGCGTCTTGACGTGGAAGAACGCAGAGAAGGCGGGGGCGGAGGTTGTCCGCTGCCCTGAGTGCGCCTGGCCATGCCGCGGCGCAGCTGGCTTGAAGGTCCGTCATAGCCAGTGGTGCGGTGAGGACAAGCGGCGGCGCATGATGGCTTGCGGCATCGGCGCTCCGCGCAGATCCACGCGAGATGAGGAGGCCCGAGGTCGCGGCCGTGGCCGAGGCAGAGGAGGGGGGCCCGGGCGTGGCCTGTCGCCCCCCCCCCCCCTAAAGGGCCCTTACGGGGGTATCCAGAATCGCGACACGTACCGTGTTCAACATATCTGTGTCAACAGGCTGCGTCACGTGCTGGTTCACGTTTAGGCGAGCGGGCCGCGCCACACGTACGTTTTCAGTTTGCGTGTTGAGCTCTGTGCCAGCACGCCTGCGCCAACACGCTACGGGTTGCGTGCTGCGTATCGGGGCAGCTAAGACTCAGGGTGGCCAGTGGCCAGCGGCTCGCCTGCGCCTCCCGGCCGCAAGCCCTCCTTTCCTACCATCCTGCCACTCTCGCTGGCGCCCCCGCCTCCCCTGCCCACGACAAGCTGGACGGAGAAAAACATAATCAGCCCCTCGAGCGCACTCTGACGCCTGTGCCCAGATCGTCTGACCAGTGGGGGGAGGAGGAGGGGGAGGAGGAGGAGGAGGAGGAGGAGGAGGAGGCGGAGGAGGAGGAGCAGATGCTGTGACCACGCCGTGATCAGCTCAGCAGCGCTTTCGCACAGCAGCTTCCTCTGGCTGTGCAGCGGGTGTGCGAAGCGTCGCTAGGATGGCTGCCGCGCGGGCCGCGGGGGCCCAGCGCGCCCCCGATGGGGATGCTGGTCAGCCCGCGGCCGCCTCTCCCAACGGGCCGTGTGGCTTTGGAGATCAGCAGCATATGGATGACATCACAATCCGACAGCATAGCTTCACACAACACCACGAGGTCGAGAGCGACTCGCCCTCTTTCCCCGGTGGCCGGTATAAGCACGAAGCACACAGGGCGCGTCGTCCCCGAATGGGAGAGCACGACTTGGAAAGGAGCGCCCTCTATCCGTGCATGTAGCTTTGGAAGCGGTTAGCCGTATGGTCGTGGATCGTAGTGGTCTTAGGCGAGCACAGGAGTTTCCAATTCATCGCCCACGGTCATTTTGGCTGTTCAGAGTCCCAAGCGAGATATCGGTTGTGAACAGCAATCGTCCCACATCCATGTAACTGTCGGAATTTACATAACCGCTGGCAGTATTAAGCGAGAAGGTCTCAGGCCATAACGTGATTTCGAAAACGACCAGTCCTTCATCCAGCTTGTAGTTGGAAGCATCACGTCTGAGGATTGTGATTCGTGATCAAATCTCAGGCGACAGTCATGATTTGAGAACGAGGGGCCCTCCATCCGTTATGAACATTGAAATTCCAAAGGCAGGCCTGGGCGGAAGGCAGGCCTGGGCGGAATGCTTGGACCGCCCTCGTGACACGTCTGGTGGTGCGACGCATCATTTTCGTCAGTCGTGCGGGTGGATGAGCAGGCACAGCATGAGGACCAAGACCGCGCGCAGAACTGCTCTCTTGCCTGTTCTTCAGATCCCATGAGGCAGGGTTCTATCATCCGCAAGGGCTTCGCCCCAATGCCGCTGGCCCCCCCCCCTCTCTCAGCATGGGACTGGCCAGAGCTGTGTTGGGATGTCTGGACGCTGACGTGAAGCAATGTCGGGACTTCACGCGAGGGCCAATCTATTTATTTACGAGGGTTTCTTCGGTGGCGCGAATATTATGTAATTTACAAGGGTTTATGGCTTCGGGGACGCCAATATGGTATACTTTACGAGGGCGTGTGGCCTCGGGGACGCACGTATTGCGTACTTTACGAGGGTTTATGGCCTCGGGGAGCAACTCTTACAAGGGTTTAGGGCCTCGGTGACGCGAATCTTGTGTAATTTGCGAGGGGTTGTGGCCTCGGGGACGCACATCTGGTGTAATGTGCAAGGGTTTTCATGGCATGGGGGCGCGACTCTTGTATACTTTTCGATGGTTTATGGCATCGGGGGCGCGGATATTGTATGTTTTACGGGGGTTGACTGCTCCGGGGACGCGAATCTTGTATAATTTAGGAGGGTTTGTGACCTCGGGGACGCAGGCATCGCGTAATTTACTAAGATTTATGGCATCGGTGGCGCGAGTATTAGGTAATTTACGCTGGTTCATGGTTTCGGGGACGCGAATATTGTATACTTTACGAGGGCTTGTGGCCTCGGGGACGCAAATATGGTGTAATTTACATAGGGTTATGGCCTCGGGGGCGCAAATCTGGTAGAATTTTAAAGAGGTTTACGGCCTCGGGGACGCGAATCTTGTGTAACTTGTAAGGGTTTGGGGCCTCGGGGGCGCACGTATGGTGTAATGAACGAGTGTTTATGGCCCTGGTGACGCGAGTATTATACAATTTTTGAAGGTTTATGGCTTAGCGGGCGCGAATATTGCATAATTCAAGGACTGCGAATATTGTATGATTTCCGAGGGTTTGTGGCCTCGGGGATGCAAATTTCGTATTTACGAGGGTTTATGGTTTCGGGGACCCGAATATTGAGTAATTTACATGGGTTTAGGGCCTCGGGGATGCGAGAATGATGTAATCTAAAAGGAATTATGTCCTGGGGGACGCGAATCTTATGTATTTGTACGTGTCCCACGCCCCCCAACGAATTCTGAGAACCCTCCCAGGACGTGGTAAAAACTAGTTTGGGGCTCCCACCCCTCGCGCAGACAGCAACAACTAACAGGAAGGAAGCAGAAAGCAGGACTGTAACAGTGGAAACTGGAAACTGCAACTGGAACAGGGAGCTGCAGTCCTTATCCTCGCAGCCTGGTGGCCCCGCAAGGGGGCCGGCGGATTCTATTTATCCTTAAGTGGCCTTCATCTGTTGCGAATTGTCCATTTTCAATCAGCGATCCTTTTTTGGGCATCCCTTCGCGGCATGGGAGAGAAGCAGGGCCCGGCCACGCAACGCTGCGATGCAGACGCTGCGTGCGCCGCGCTGGCCGCGGCTTCTCCGAGCGAGCGTTCCTCGCTGCCGGCTGCCGTCGACAGCCAGCTCTCGGGGTCCCCCAAACGGGGTAGTGACCACACCGTGTGGTGAGCCGTCAGGAGGGGAAAAACACACACACACAGACTCAATTCATCGTCGATTCCCAGGAGAATATGGGAAAACATGGGAAGTGGGGGGGAAGACGAAAATCCCTCAAATATAGGAAAATATGGGGAATCCTGTTATTTGTGTGTATTTATTTAATCGCTTCGCTCATTCCGCCGGCCCATATTGTCGCACAGTTGTGGGCTAGCCGAGTTTTGGGGCCTCTTGGGGGCCGTTTTGGAGCCTCTTGGGGCCTCTTTTGGGCCTCTTGGGCGCCTCTTGGGGCGTCTTGGGGGCCTCTTGGGGGCCTCTTGGGGCCTTTTTGGGGCCTCCTGGGCGCCTTCTGGGGCGGAGGGCTCGATTTTTCAGTTCTCGGTTCCCCTCTTGAGCCCCTCTTGGGCCCGTCTTGGGGCCTCTTGGTCCGTCTTGGGCGGCACTTGGGCCGTCTTGGGGGCCCTCCTGGGCCGTTCCGGGGCCGTCTTGGGAGCCTCATGGGCCGTCTTGGAGCGGTCTTGGGGGCCTCTTGGGCCGTCTTGGAGCGTCCGGAAGCCGAAAAAGCCAGAACGCAAAAAACAGCGAAAAAAACAATGAAAATCAACGATTTTGGCCTCTTGGGGCCCTCTTCGGAGGCCTCTTGGAAGGCCCTTGGGGCGTCTTGGAGGCCTCTTGGGCTGTCTTGGGGCCCTGTTGGGCGTCTTCGGGCGATCTTTGGCCGTCTCGGGGCCCTCTTGGACCGTCTTGGAGGCTTCTTGGGGGCCTCTTGGCCCGTCCTGGGGCCCTGTAACAGGGCTCCGGCATCTCTGGCCCGACCTTGCGGGGACCTTGCCGGGGACCTTGCCGGGGACCTTGCCGGGGACCGGCCGGGACCTGGTCGGGGTACTTTTCGTCTGGGGACCCCCAGGGGCCGCCCCGCGCGCGCGAAGTAGAAACATTGTAGAGCAGTTACCGGAGATCTTAGCACGCCTCTGGCCCGTTGGGCCGGCGAATTTGTGTGTCCTCGGGCCCCTTCAAGTCGGTGGGGATTCGGGGTCGCCGCACGGTCTTGGGACTTGGGTCGTTCCGCGAGGTTGTCTCGGGCGACTGGGGCTTCCAGGGTCCCAAGTCCGTGCGGTGACGGACCGTGCGGTGAGGTCTCTTGGGGTGAGGTCTCTTGGGGTTCCGAGGTCACCGCACGGTCTGTCACCGCACGGTTTTGGTACCCCCAATCAACTCGCCAGCCAAGGCTGGACGCGGCTCGAAAGACTAGACAGGAGGGAGTCTGGTGGGGTCTGGTGGGGACCTATTTTGAGCAGAGCCTGATCGGAACGGAATGTCAGTCCAGCGGTACGCGCGAGGAGCCAGGGGTCTGCAGAGCTATTTTGGCGGAAGCGCTCGGCATGGCGGGGCCTGCGTGGCGCC